TTTTGCAGTTTAGCTTTGAATGTGGTGTTAATTAGTTTTTAAAATTTGGTGATCAATACCCAAATAGTGAAAGTTCGTGAACTGTAAAACTATTCTCCAGTAACTTTTACTTGCTCAATTAACGATGGTGATAACGTCCGTATAGATAGTTGGGAACGTCACTGTTTACATGACAGTGGTTTTCTGTTTACTTCTGTATTATGGAAAATGTGAAACACTCTAATGCTAATTATACTATCATTGCCTTATTTATACTGATTTCTGACAAATAAACCTGAAGTGAATGCTTAACATCTAGTAGTGCAAAATCTTTCTAGTATAAGACCGACAGCCTACCTTCTAAAAACCCCACAAAAGACGCAATGGCATGCATACACTAGAATTCTCACTAGTCTTTGAGACCTTTCTTATAAATCCTAGATTTATTGAGTGAGCAATAGAACTGCAGTTAAATCTTGAAAAGTTACCCCAATGATTTTAACGTAAAAATGCTATAAGCAACCCGAGTAAAAGATAAAATATCAATCCTTGATTGACAAATTTGCATCTTGAAGTATAACTGCTAGCAACAACTACGGGTGAATTGAACACCTGGCGCACTACTTTTCACTGCTACACCTTTGATAAAGCTCAATACTGAATTGAAATCCTTTTAATTCTAACGAGCTTGGACTTCATAGGTCATGGTGTGTAAGTTTTTAAAGCCTATTCATGAAGTAACTCTACACATTTAGTCCATGCCTAATTCAATCAAACGGAAAATATCAGCCGATTTCCTAGCAGTTTAATTTGTGTTTCAGTTTTTAAAACAATGAATACTCATTAGCAGCCAGTCAATAATCCGTTACTTAGCTCTTATCTAATTCATGTGCATCAATACAAAGAATATATCTATGAAAGCTATAAATAAAAAGAAAAGATTGATATATACTTAGAGAGAAATAAAGTCAAGTGACCATCTTTTTATGTAACTTTATGAGAGCCTTTGGCAAACGTTTTCATTAATGCATACTAAAATTATTTCTTGCACCCTAGTAATAAACCAATAGTCTTACATTTTACAGTGGACTTTTGATGATTTGTCATAAGGATAGATTTTGGCAAAGTTTACATTTCGACTTAGAGATTCAAAAATTTCAGCTCCGAATTTATAACCAAATCAGCTTGAGAATGTGACTTAGACTTTACTTAGATAAACACAAACAGGCTTCTTAGTGTGAATTTCTTATTTGGCTGCAATTTGTAGCACAGTCTTAAAACGAATGCCAGCATATGTATTACAAATGGTGGGATTCCAGCAGTGTGAAGGAAATAAGACATTTATTTTTCATATTCTTGAAGCGATACCCATTACTCCTTTCATAAATCAGTAGTCCCTAGGAACACAGGATATTTCAAACGTCCTGATAGTTCACACACGGTTGTTATTCGACACTGCGTACTGGTGAAGAATATCTGTAGCTCAGGTGGACGGTCATGGTTGTGGTTATATTGTGTTCTCTGAGCTGAGGTTTTTACTCATGCAGCTTTCATCGTCTTTCTAGACGATACAACATACTGAAGTTAGTGCTGAAGATGTCATCTAGAATGGCGATGAAAGCTCTACGAGTAAGCGTCTTAGATCAGAGAACGCAATACAACCGAGACAATAAGTATTATTACCCTCCAACCTCTCATACACAACGCGATGTATAAAAATATTCTTATCTTAAAGCTTGGTTGAAGGTTTGACATAATTCAATCCTCAAACACTCATAAGAAGTAATTTATATCTACTAAAAAGGTTTTTGACTAAATTCACCTAGAAGTAATACGCCTTATTCGTCTTATCAAGATTTGCATCCCATAAAATGTAGGGGGAAGCTTTCCTTTAAAAAAGAACATTTATGTTGACTGAAGAACCTCATGACAATAAATCGCAAAATGTAGTACCTGGCCAAACAGAGTGAAATAATCGTTAATTTCAGTCCAGTGCCTATTATTCAACTTTGAAGTAGCAAGGATTTGTGCGTTATTTGCAAAGGTGTAAAAATTGGACAACATAGTTCAACGTTTTTCAATATAAGATTTGTTCGTTTTACATAGCAAACAGTGTTACAATATTACCTAATAATTATTCTATTTTCTGGGTTTTAAATGAAAACAACTGATCTAATATGTATCCTATTCTACCTTCTCAAAAATATCATTTACACATCAGCTTACAACTACTTTAGGATATGATTAACTTGAAATGATACAAAATATTTTCTCTGGGGATATCCTATAAACTATTGGGAACTTGATATGAAAGTGCTCTGATTGTTTTTTAACACGATTACTTGAATTGTTACAAAAGACTATTTGTAAAACTTTACCATATCTAATAACAATCAGCTAAAGAATGGATTGGTTTCTTAAGCTGGTTTCTCGAAAAATAACATGTAGTTGGAGAGTAATTCATTCAAACAAACTGTTGTTCTCTTTCTTTCTTACCTCTAAAAAACAGGAAAAAAATGTTAACGATATTAAATTTTATTGTTGTCAGCTGTTCTGGCGTCTGCGAAAAAGCTGAAAATTGTCTCATTGCAGTGTGGTGATAAAAAAATAGTGTAACTTGTATGATTATTAAATAAGATAAAGGACACATGGTTTTTCAATGAATAACTGCAATATAGAAAGACCAGCTTCACTAATAGTTAAACTGTTAGTCAAGAAACGAGAAACGAATTATTTGTCATTTACTAAGAAATGGTTATGATTTGTTAGAGAGTGAAAAAAGCAAAGCTTCGCATTCGTTGAAGATAGGCAGAATGAAGAAAGTTAAATCATACTTTGTTAAGGTCCCTATCCAACACCATTTGAATTTTTGAATTGAGTATACTTCACATGGTCAATCATGTTCAATGTCATTAGCAAGAGTGTGCAATTAAGTTGTAGCTTTTGCAAATAAATGACTTGACAACAGATATTCTGTAACCCTGCTTTCATTATCTTCAGAGCAGGTAGAAGTATAACTGATGCATCTACGAAGATTTAGGCAGTTTATAAATTATCAGCACACATAGTTAGAGTTTGTGATAAGTGAACAAACCATAAACAGAAGATTTCTACCCTTTTCTACCCTATTAGTAATTTGCAAATACTTCTGAATATGAAGTAACGTTTTGTGTTTATTTTCTAAAAGTAAAAACTAACGTAACTATTATTACCTTAGAAGAAAACCAATGTTTACCATAAACCTTTTAGTATGTCTACAAATACTGATAAGTTTTATTTGATAAAAGTAGCGAAAATGGGTTTAAATATCACTTACCATAATTTACTTACTAGATTTTTCAAGTATCTTGCAATGAGAAGCTTATAACAGCTTGATTGCGGTGTAACAGTTCACCCTATAACACGAAATAAAAATATCGTGATAAACTACCTGTTTAAAAAATTATGCTTCAATTTAGGAACTGATATAGTAGCTTGGATATACTGTGATGTTTTTATGAAGCCTAAATTTATTACGGTTATCTGGAATCTGACTTCTCATATTCAAAATATACTGCAAACTAGAATGACACCTCAATAATAACCAGACATCACTTTAAGTGCTTTGACCAGTTCCATTGATTTTATAGTATTTATATGATTGTAAAAGTGAATGCAAAAGAAAAATTAAAAACTGCTACATGTATGGTGCAATTAGACAACGAAATTGCAAACACGGCCTAGATATCAACTTAATGGTGCAAAATAACGGTACATAAAATAAAGGAGAAGCAAAATGTGATTAAGTTGTAGATAAATTTTAGGTAGAATCGTTGGTGCAATATTTGAATAAATAAAGAAAATGAAAAGATAATTTACTTATTAGGTGTTAACATTTTTCCCCAAAATGAACTCTGACAGTTGAACAAAAATGCCACGTGTGAGCGGTACAATGAAATTTTTTGTGACTTTATAAAATTCGTCTAAGTAAGAAAACGGAGGTACTTCATATAGTTCGATTTAAAGTTTTAGTTATCTTACTGTATATTTATTCAGTCTTTATTGATTCATCTTCAGTTTATCCACGTCTTTTGTGCAGCGATATATTATGAATAATTACAGACTAATTAGTGGTCTTTGTACAAGTTGGTCATTCTGTAAAATGCTGAGGTAAAGAAAAAAACAACCAAGTTTGTGTGTGTTGGAAGTTGGAGAGACATACTAGTTTCTGTTTAGTTACCTTCGTATTGAGATACAAATGAATGATTTGTTCACATTTCTCCGTGAAGAAATATTATCATCAGTCATGTATAAGTCAGACTAATTCAGTTTACCTCATGAAAAAATTGTCAAATGATTGTCTGCACCTTTTGTGACCAGTTAAAACGGAAGTGCATCTTTACTTCTGCATTGTTCTCCACGAAAAATTAAATATGGTTATTGCTAATACATATATATATATATATATATATATATATATATATATATATAACGACATCAGTTAAACAAATCTTATATGGAATTACATCCTACCACGGTGCCCAGGTTTTACACTTATTCGATTTAATCATCTTTTAGCACCAAAAGGTGAGACAGTTAATATAGTTCAAGATTTATCATATTCAAAAAGGTTGACTATAAATGGTGAATAAATTTATCCAGCTGATTTTACTAAAATGAATTTTAATGCTAGGTTTTGTATATTTGTTAATAATTGGCCAATAAACCTACTTGTAATGAACATCTCGGTATTTTCGAGACTATGGTGACCGTTCATCTTGTTGAGAATATGAAAATGAAAACGGAATTTAAAAGTATAAATTATTGTTGGGGAAGAGAAAAGGTGTAAATTTTTTGAAGTCATGAATTGGCCTGGGGAACAATTAGATCATTATATGGGGAATGAAGCGAGATAAACTGAACGAACACAAAATAGTTCAGCATGATCTTTAAATTTATATTTTGAGCAGTATTCTATGGTCGGAATACAAAGAAACAAGCTGATGAATAATTTCTAAACATCCTCAAATTGTTTCTTTAAGGTTACTGGTATCATGACACAAGGTCGAGGAGATGGTTCAGAGTGGATTACTTCATTCATGGTATCGTACAGTGATGACGCTATGCACTGGAAATTTGTCACAGATCAGTATGCGAATCAAAAGGTAAGTTGTTTTAACTTCTTTTATTTTAAATTTCCACATAATTCCTCAATCTGTTTCAAAACAACAGCTTAGAAATAAAAAGATCTTTTGGAGTTTTTCTTGAAAGTCGCTGAGTCAGCTCCTTTTTCACCTCGTTATTACACCAGACGTATCAAAAGGGATGTGGCCGATAGTTGAATGTGACTTGAAAATAAAATTTGTGGCCACGTTTCAAAGAGATCAGTAGAATTCGATCATCAATTAGAACTAGAAAACATGAAGTTGGTTACACTCCAGCGATTAATCAGTGTACCTAATCTAGTCCTACAGGAGATCAGTCAAGACCCAAATAGCTCAGTGGCAACGTCTTAGACTGCATTACTGACTATCGCAGATTCAAATCTCAGGCAGGACATCAATTCATTAGAGGTTGTAGATACCTCTAGGTTCAGCGCTTCCCGTCAAATGTCTCGATCAAAAAAATATTTTACTTAACCGCATCATCCGACTAATAGACAGAATTCAGGTTTCACGAAGGAAGCTCTTTATTTTTTACAAACCGAATTTTGACTTATTCACAGTACTCATCGTGATGAGATTTCAACCACCTTAGAAAGTTTCAGTTGGTGGGTTCTGAGAGGTAATAGTTACCGAAACAAATCTGGGTCACTGCAGAAAGAAATGGCAGTGGAATCTTTATGAGGCAGTTTTTTAATGACAGATGCTACTAAACTTTCTATCATTTTCCATCACTCATTTAATGCTCAGATGTTTATTGAATGATAAGCTGAAAAACTTTGACGCAAAGGTAGTCTTTGAGTTGAAAAATACTGTCTTTATCAGCTGTCTGTGAATTTTCTAAATTACCATTTTTAATCATTTCAACGAGAAGTAATTAGGCGGTATACACCATATAGAAAGCTGCAAAGTCATATAAAAAAATATAATGACTAGTAAGAGAATGACTTTCATGCCACATAGAAAAATTAGATTTGTAATTTAGTTTGTTACTGGGTAATAAAAACTTTATAGACAGAAAATGTGTACATGACTTCTAAATAGTTGTAAGCATTATCAGTTGGCGCCATGTTTAGTTGCGATTAAAATGTTTTCTTAAGATGTATCTCATAATTATGCTTGATGTTACTGGTATGTTAGCCAGTTTTCAGGGAATTAGTATAATGAGTACAACTGAAATCCAATAGAGGAATAATTTTTATTGTTGTGATATCCATAATATCATCAATAAATAGTTATTTGTACTAGTTAGGGTGTGGAATGTTGAAAGATAGAATGGGAATTTATTTACAAACAGAAGTGTGTTTTATTCGATTGTTTTGCTCTGCTGAAACAGTATGCTATTCAGAAGTAATCAATCATTTTCACACTTGAAATCATATGTGAATTCATGCATCAATAACTCGCTGTAACTTTAGATTAGGAACAATAAACAAGAGCTGAGCAAAGCAGTAGACGGTGGTATCCAAAGACACTATTGGCTTTAGATAGATTACAGTGGTATATATTTATTCACCTTTGATCTGACTGAAAGTGATTTATATATGAATATTAACTGCTTACTTGAACTACACTTCCAACGTACCAATGGCGCATCACTGACTGTCATTTGACTTTCCTTAGTTCATTTTTACCGAATACTCTGATAGAGTAATGTATGTTACAAAATTATTTCCTCTGACTCGAAATAATTTTGCTTGTTTTGTGCTTCAGTAATGAGGAATAGTCAGTTTAAATAGATTTACAAAGGCGGATAAGCAGAGTGAAGTGAAAACGGTGACAGTACCTAGTCCCCTATTAAACGTAAGTGCAGAAAAAGACGTAGTCAAATTTTCTTGCTCCAATAAGGTTTTCACATTTTATTTCTTAATTACGATAAGTATTTTAGAAATTATTTTTGTTACGAATAATAATGCGTGTTGTCTCAAAATCAAGCAATTCCTAGTAGACAAGGTTAACGCATCATTTTTAGTTTCTTCATTCAGCCTTAACTGCAGCAAAGTCTACTTTCTGTCTTCTAATGTTTCCATGAATGCCACATTATTTGAAAGGTTTCTTAGTGTTCATAACCAGAGGAAAATGATAAAGTCATTTAGTAGAGATACAGTCCACTCGAGTACTAGCTTAAGTTACTACCCAGCAACGAAGTGATGTTCGAGGCTTCTGATGAAATCTTTATCCAATTACTAATAATTTTTGCATACACTGTTCAAGAGTTTGAAATGTATAGAAACATGTAATAATTTCTACTACTTCTTAGTTTATCACATTCGGTTTAACCTTTAATTGTATCTTTCCAGATAAAAATATTTGATCTTGACGGTAAAAAGTGACCTGTCATTGAAAGTTATCCTTAGCTTTATATTTCATTAATTGACATGAAATAAGTGTTTATTTTTAGAAGTTTTCCATCAAAGAATGACTGACATATGTCGGCTTATCGATATGGTAATATTCACGAGTCCTGTAACTATTTCAAGGTTTGAAACATTCCGCTGCATCAGTTTTCTTGATAAACGATTGATTAACCAACAGTGTTTTGTTGTCTTGTACATCTATTTACCTTCGTCTTCAGATGTAAAGTAGATTCTGAATTTCTTTCACTTGAAAATACTAAGTTTTTCCTATTGAAATAAGAAGAAATACATCACGATTTCAATAAACGCTGGATGCAAACAATGGAATATCTCTATTCTGAACTCTTTGCAGAAGTAAATACATTTCTTTGGTCTCTGTCATACTGAATTAATCAGCTTAAGTTTGACAGATTCACGGTAAAAACTGGGCAAATTTGTAATGAAGAACTGAATTGTGTTAATGGAAACTAATGCATGTTATCGTATATCACAGACTTCTGAAACGAAACTCAAAAGTAAAAGGGAGTCTAAGTTTTAGGCGTACTATAGTAATCGTGAATTAAATCAACAAGATAAAAAAACCAGGCATTTTTCAACCATATGAAATGATAGGAGACAGCAAAACTTTATTAGCTGTTTTATGTCAGCAGATCAGGGTACAGAATGCAACAAGGATGTCTCAATACGTTGGAGCAATGAAACTCCCTTTGATAAAGTTGGAGAGTGCCAGCAATCACAGTGCAGACAAATGTTCGATAGTCTCTACAAAGGTTACAAGCAAAAGAAACTTCCATGCGATGTTTTTCAAATACTATCACGATAAAACTGTGTTAACTCAACATCTCTTATCACAGGTAGCTAAATGGGTGACTGTGGTTTATCAAGCCAGCCCAAACGAAGCAGCAACTAAGATCTGGAAACTACCACTTAATAAACTACGCCTACTGCATAAACCGTGGTTACTGTAATGTAATAGTAACACGCGAGCGCTGTGGTAGATTCTATTTTCACTTAAGTCTGTTTATTAGAAATGTCACAGTAAAACAGTTGCATTTAATGGATAACGTTTCGAACATTGATTATTGTCTATATTCACATCAGGCACCTCCACAGTATTGAGACAGAGACAGAATATGTACAATAAATAGTGTTCGAAAGGCTATCCAGTAAGTGAAATTGTTTCATTGTGCGACACTTCTAATAAACAGACTAAAATGGTTACCATAACTCAGGAACCTGATGTGTTACTGTCTAGCTTTCGGAAGGTGGGTGGTAAGGTTAAGTACCTCTGAGCAGCATTTCGGAAGGAAGTGTTTCTTATTGTGAGTGAGATGATTCAGGGGTAACTACTACCAACCATAACTATCGATAGTAAAAGTCCTACCAAGACATCAATAAACTTGTTTATTTTACAGAATATATATAAATGATAAGAAAAAACCGCAAAAACATTCTTAAATCCAATCTGTTTATTTATTGTGAGCTAAGATTATGAGGAGTTAAAACTAAACTAAATTTGTAAATTCCATTTCAATAAAAGTAAGTATTTCTGGAGAAACCCACAATGTATAAGGTCATATTCCATGCCATTAATACAAATATTTTGCTGATACCTCATGGTTAAGTTGCGTCTTCTGACACGATTTCAAATGTCAGTAAATGTGGGATTTATACTGAATTACGAAATCAAAAAATATCTAAAACATATAGCAGCACTGACTTGACGTTGGTGTTGAAAATCCGGAACTTGTTTTTTGTGCTGAGTGCAGTAGATCTCCACACTGATTTCAGATTAATGAAAGCCCGTCTTGCTTTTTTGACCCTGGCTTTGACGTCCTCGTCTGTGCCGCCTGTAGTTGAAATGCTGCTGCCTAGATAGGTGAGAGCGACTACTTCCTTTAGTCTTCTTCTGTTAATGGTAATTAGTGTTTGTTGTTGATGCTGTTGTTGGCTGGCCATCTTCATCAACACAATCTTCGCTACGTTTACTTGAAGTCCTGTCTTCTCTGTCTCTTCTGTTAACTTGTTAGTTTTCGCCTGTATACCTTAGAGATTGTGAGAGAAGACACTGAACAAAAATCATCATCGCTGACAAAATTCAAATCTTCTAGGATCTTCTCATCGGTCAAAAAGCGTATGTCCATCTTCTCACTACTCACGTTTTTATGCACAGTCCGGTCGACCAAAATCAGGAAGACCATCGGTGATAGTAGGCAGCCTTGTCTTGTCTTACTCCTGTCTCCACTTCAAAAGCATCTCTGAGCTTAACACTGTGGATCATTTGGCATATGGCATCTTCTTATAGCGGTTGAATACGGTTGATAATGGTTTGTGGTATTCCATAGTGTTGAAGCAACTGCCAAATTACTTGTCGTTCGATGCTGTCAAAGGCCTTTTCAAAGTCGATAAAGCTGAGGTAGAGAGATGACTGCCATTTTGTATTCTGTTCTATCATGATGCGTAGTGTAGCGTTGCAATCTGACCCCCACATGATTTGTACTTGCTAAATCCAGCCAGCCTGTTACGGTAGTAATTTTGAATCCAGCGCATCCTTTAGTCTCTCCAGGATGATGCGGCCTAATATGCTGCTTGGGATAGATAGGAGCATAGTTAAGCGCCAGTTCTTGCATGGACTCAGGTCGCCCT